GGCCCGAGCCGCTCGGCTCACACCTCGCGCTCGGCCGCACTCGCCCGCCGCACGGCTGCAGGTGCGCGCGTCTCCGGCCCCTGGCCCGCCCATCGATTCCGTGCTGTGCCCATCATGGCCAAGGCCTTGTTGCAAATGCATGCTCCATGCCGCCGCATGCATGTCGCATGGCGGCATGCGCCATGCAAGGTGGCCCCACGCAGAGGGGTCGCGTGCTCAAGTCTCGTCCCCGCGCTAGGCCGCCTCTCACATAGTATGTCAGGCCCAGCTGCTTCAGCTCCCGCAGCCTCTGAAACTCCGGCGTGTCTATAATTGCCACGCACTCGGCAGGCAGGTCGAAGTGGCCTATGGCAAGGGCCGCAGGGTGCGGGCGGCGCGGCGGCGCAGTTGGGACGGTTCGCACCGCCGCGCACGTGACGGTCGTTGCCGCCGGCCTGCAGCGAGCGTTTCGCAGTAACCAACGATATGATTGATAATATTACTCACCATGCACGGGGCAGTTGAACGTCTTAGCGCGGGTCGCTGTCATCGCGCCAGGCCCGCAGATCACTGTCCACGCTCTGCTCGCCTCTCGAGACAACAAAAATCCATGAAAGTGTGCACGCACTGATCAGCTCCACGCTCTTCCCGTGCCCTGAACTGCACGGGGTAGCCGTAATGAGTTTGAAATGTGTGCATTAGCTGCCCCTTCACCTGCCAACATGGACCGCTGCCCCTGATGTGATCAGGTTGACCCTGGCTGTGATATTGCCAACCCCGCTGGCCACGTAGGTGGCTTTGCACAGTCAAACTCCCGCAATGTCCGTGGCAGCACCGAGCTGCTCTTGCAAGACGAAATCAGTTACAATCACACCAAGGCGCAGCACCCGCCCTGGAGAACAGCACCGACCACATGCGCGCTCGCATGGGTGTGCATACGAATGCAGAGGCCGTCCCAACGAATGTTCAGAAGTGTTCTAGAGACCCAATGTGCGAAGAACCGGCGCGGCGCGTGGGGGTGGGGGGTGGGGGTGAGGGTGAGGGCGATATGGCACCTCCGTCCCATCAGCCGCCTAAACTCAATTCAAGCCGTCTCATATCCAATCGGGCCACGATGAGGCGTTGCTTTCCGGCCTCGGCGTGCTCACGCCGCCTCTACAACTTCCCCCGCCTTCCCGCTTGTCTGATCAGACCCACCATCTGGTTCGTACGAAATTTCGGAGCAGCGGGGCGCCTGGCGGCCGCCGAGGCACGACGTGCTGCGAAGAGCGGCGACGGGTCCAGCGCTGCCGGCCGCGCGGCGGGCGCGGCGGGCATATATCGGCGCTTGCAGAGGAGCGCCCCGCGGCGACGCGGGGCGCGTGTATGCGCGTGCGTGGTGCGGGTGTCAACATCAAAGATGCTGACGCCACGGGGCACACGAACGCGCGCGGCGCCACACCACAATCTTGCCTTCTGAGGCGCTGCGCCGCGCCCAACAGCGGCGCCCGCGCCAGCGGGTGTGAGGGACGAGCAGTGCCAATGCTTGGGTGTTCTTATGAATTCATCCCTGCCAACACCAGCGGCGAAACCCGGGCAGCGCCGCGCGTTGTTGCGCTAAAAGGACGCGCCGCTTGGGCGCGGCCGCGGCGCAGCCGCACGAGGCGCGAGGCCGGCAGCCCAGCCGGCAAGAGGCTTGTTGCGCAAGAAATACGGGGGCGCGGTGGCCCGGTAGCGGGGTCGTGGAAGCAACGGGGGTCCGATTTCTGTTCGAAGGCGGGTGCAGGGGGTTCCACAGTGTGTGAGGGGCAGGAGAAGCGGCTCGGCGCGCCGTGCACGACGGCGCGCGTCCAGCCGCGCCGCGCGGCGAGCGGGGGCGGGGGCGCGCCGTCGCGCCGCGCGGGGAGCATTGCGGGGTTGGCAAGTCGTATCGAGGGCGGGGTGCGGCGGGGTGTGGTGATTCTGCGTGCGTGCGTGCATCGGGGTCGGTCGTTGGCGGGGGCTCCCGGCTATTCCGACGCAACAAGGACACTGCTGGGTGCTGCGAACGCAGCGGTTCTTATCAGGGCCCACCGGCCCGGATTGGTGGCGCCTGCAGGCGCGGACAAGCGGCGCGGAGCCGCAATGTAAAGAGGAAACATGTAAGGCAGGGGCAAAGCACCAGCCTTGGACCAGCCAATTTGTCCCAGCACGGCCACCGCCGCCGCCGCCGCCGGGGCGGGGGCGAGAGAGAGAGAGAGAGAGCGCGCGCAGGGGCGCGGGCGGCAATGCGCGCAAAAACGCAAGCAATGTTTCAGATTTTCAGCCGACCATGTATTGAGCGGGAGTCGTCGGCTGCAGGCCGCCGGCACTGCGCCAAATGGTCGGCTGGGGTCGCCACGCGTCTGCCCCCGCCGGCCGCACCCACCCAGGGGCCCCAGGCCCGCGGGGGTGTTCTCAGCCGGGCGGCTGCAGGGTGGTAAAAGCTCACGCGAAGGTGGCCTCGCGATCCATGCGGCGGTGCATCGCATCGCATCTCATCTTGTTATCTGGTACAATCAGCTTATCCAAAGCATCGAAAATCACGATTCAGCGCCGGCAGACCGCCGCAGAGCGAATGGGGTTATGCTAGCGGCGGCCCCGGCGCCAGCGTGCGCGGCTGCACCCTCGGCGGCCGCGCGGCGGCCGCCGCGCTCCCGTCGCCGCCGCCTGGCGCGGGCGGGCCATTTGCGGGGCCGGGCGCGGCCTCGGGGGCGGACAGGGAGTGGGAGGGGGCGGAGCAGGATGACGTCATCAGCGGGGCGCTATCCTCGGACGTGTCCTCGTCGCCCGCGTCCTCGATCGGCTCGAGCTGACGAGGATGGGGATGTAGGAGGAGGGATCGGGTCGGGGGTTGGCGGTGGGGTTGGTGGGGCCCTGGTGACACTCAGAGAGGCCCTGGTAACAGTTCAGAGTTGAGGAGCGGCTAGGAGGGGCCTAGGGGCACCAGGGTGCAGGGGTGCCGGCAACGCGGCTGGCCAAGGCCTTGTGGCGCCGGGACCAAGGGGGAGCCCGGTAGGGGAGGGGGTCGTTGCCTAGGGTTTCCAGGAGGTGCGCGGGGGGGGGGGGCAGGTACGCATCACATTGGGAAGATGAATCAGTGCGAATTGGTGACCCATGCTGCCAGACGGGGATGACTCACCCTGCTCTGGAAGCCCGCAGACCCCGCGCTCCGCCGCCTGCCGCTCCTCCGCCGCCGCCGCCGCTGCGGCGGCGCCTGCTGCGCCTGCTGGGCCTGCTGCTGCGCAGCCGCCATGGGCGGCTGCTGCTGCTGTGGCGGCGGCGCCGCGCCGCCGGCGCAGATCGCGGGGGCCGGGGGCGCGGGGGCCGGGGGCGCGGTGGGCTGGCCGTCTGCGCCCAGTATGTGGTATGAGATGGGGCCGAGCTGCAGCAGCTCTTCCAATCCGGTGGCGTCGTTGCCGGGGTGGAGAAGAGGCTGCAGGAGTGACGGTTGCGTACGGGTGTATGTGCATGTGTGTGTGTGTGTGCGTCTGTGCATGTGTGTGTGTGTTTGTGGGTGCGCGCGCGCGTGTGTGTTTTGGTGGTGTTGGTCGGGGTGTGAGGGGTGTGCGCTGGTGGGGTGTGTGTCGGTGGACATGTGCAAGCTGTGCATGCACACATGCTTGATGTGCAGGGACGCATCGCTGGTTGAAGAATGAAACTCGCATCTGAAATCATTCTCCAACAAGCAACAAGTCGATGGAAAATGGCTCGGGCTGTTCAGCAAGGGACCCACCCACGAGCAACCCGTCCCCGACAAGCAACACAAGGCAGAAAACGGCGGGCGCCCCGCCAGCACGAAAGGATCACAGAAAAATGCCGCTCAGGCGCCGCGCCGGGGACGCCCAAAGCCTCGGCAAACGACAGAGGCCACGCCCTGATTCACTGACGGAGCACAGGCGCAGCGTCCCCGCGCAGCTCCCCCTCCCCCCCCCTTCCCCCCACTCGTATCAACGGATGCGCCCCAAAACGGGCCGCAATGTGGTCCGCACATCGCCCTGCGGGGCCTCACCTCGAGCCGCCCCGCGCTGCCCCAACGGGCGTCACGGCCAAGGGGCGCGGCCGGCGGCACCTCTGGGTGGCGCACGACGATGGCGCGATAGTCTCGATGCTGCTCCTCCTCCTGCTGCCGATGCCGATGCTGCTGCTCGCGTTGATGCTGCAATTGCTGCCGTTTTTGCTGCTCCTGCTGCCGCTGCTGTTGCTGGTGCTCCTGCTCTCGCTGCTCCTGCTGCTGCAACGCCGACGGCAGCTGTGGCAGCGCCACCGGGAGCGGCGTCGGCGGCGACGGCGGCAGCACG